TGTGGGGAGAAAGGAACACTTCTCCATTGTTGATGGGAGTGCAGACTGGTGCAACCACTGTGGCGATCAATACGGAGATACCTTGGGCCGGGGATTTAGCTCAGTGGTTCCGCTGCCTGCCTCGCAAGCACAAGGACCCGAGTTTGATCCCTGGTATCAAAAAAAAAAAAAATATGGAGATACTTCAAAAACCTAGGATTAGAGGTTCCTTTAGACCCAACTAGTCCCCTGCTGGGTATCTTCCCAAAAGAATTAAAAGAATCACACCACAGTGATACATGCACACTCATGTTTATAGCAACACAGTTTGTAACAACTAAAACTTGGGAACAGCCCAACTGCCCATCAACTGAAGACTGGATAAAGAAGATGTGGTTTTTTAATAAAATGGAGTCCTACTCAACCATAAAGAATGAGAAACTAGCCATTTATAGCTAAATGGAAGCACATTGAGGCCATACTCTTAAGTGAAATAAATAAGACAGATGTGTAAATACCGAATAGTTTCTCTGGTGTGAGAAACTGAAAGTGTACATAAGAATCAAAATGTATAATAGATAATGTGAAACAGGAAGGAAGTGTCTAAAGGGGAAAAGGAAGTGGGAGGTGTAGGGGAAAGGAAAGAAGGGAAAAGAAAAAAATATGAGAAAAGGAAAAAATAGAGGGAGGCTAGGGGAATGGGGAAAAAAATAACCAAGATACATCATATAAAGGTACAAATTCCCAATGATGAATGTCATTATATAGCATACCTAAAATGTACCAATAGACTCACTGATGGGTCTGAGCACATGGCAGCCCAGTTACCCTTGAGATAGCCTGACTGAAACTCTGTCCATATTGTGTATACAAGCTGACTCATTCCTAGGAGCTGAGTCACTCCTTGGAAAACATTAACTGTAATTATGTTAAACACAAAAAACATGTACATTTGAGTTTGGGTTGTTGGACAGGGCAAGGATAATTCTTGGGTGCCCTATAAATTGGAAGCACCTGTGTGGCTGAGACGACTTTCCATAGCTCTATAAAATAAAACTCCAGCCCAGCGCCCAGGAGGAGGCTGCATTGTAAATATGCACGGTAAATATGGTCTGTTTAAGGACTACTTTTCATTTTAATGATGTCATTTAAAGTTCTACATTTTGATGGAATCTCATTTATCGATTTTTTTTCTTTTATACGTCATGTTTTTTGTATCCTAAGAAGTTCTTGCCTACCCTGAATTCATAACATTTTCCCTTATAATTTCTTCTTAAAGTTTTATAGTTTTAGTCTTTCATATTTAGGTTCATAGGCCCTTTCAAGTTATTTTTATGTATGGAAATAAAGGGTTGAAGTTAATTTTTTTATATACAGATAACAGGTGTTCTAGTGCCATTTGCTGAAAACACTATCTTTTCCTTGGCTCTTGAACTGAGTTTATAGTCTATAAAATGTTAATGTTAAATAATGTTTCAAAACTCAGTGGGCCATATATGTGTGGTTCTATTTTTAGATTCTGTTTTATTCCAATGATCTATATGTCTTTCCTTACACCAACACTGCCTTGATTACTGTAGCTTTAGAGGAAGTCTTAACAATTAGGTACTAAACGTCTTCCAACACTATTTTTTTCCTTTTTACTTTTCTAGGTCCTTTGTATTCCTACATAACTTTTAAATTTCAATATTCAATTCTTTATTTATAGCAAGTATACACAGACCGGAATTTTTATATATACCTTGTGTTTTCTAATCCTGCTAAATTCAAATAAAAGTTCTAGGGGCTCCTAGAGATTTCTTAGTATTTTCTCTGTAGATAATCATTTCATCTACATATGAAGATTTTGCTTCTGCCTTGCCAATCCTATCCTAATTGTGTCATTTTATTGCCAGACTATTTCGGTTTAGGCCTATGTTTCAAAGTTTAATGGACAGATGAAGAGTAGGCATATCTGCCCTTGTTCCCCACCTTA